ACCTCCCAGGTTCAAGCGATTCTCCTGCCTCAGCCTCCAAAGTAGCTGAGATTACAGGCGTGCACCACCAACCCGGCTAATTTTTTGTATTTAATAAAGATGAGGTTTCACCATGTTGGTCAGGCTGGTCTCAAACTCCTGACCTCAGTTGATCCACCCACCTCCGCCTCCTGAAGTGCTGAGATTACAGGCATGAGCCATCGTGCCCAGCTGCCAACCAAGTTTTTAAGAATCCTCCAATAATCCCCCAAACTCTCCCTTCTATTTCAGATAGTGGGACTCTGTGCTCATGCCAGTAAGTAAAGAAGAAGGAATAAGAAAGACACTGTGTGATCTAGTATTAATAAGGAAGTAAGTGATCAAATTACTCCAGCTAGATCGGTAGAATCTATTATCAAGCACGTTGAGGCCGATAGCATTCACAAATCAACTGTCTACGTTTATACTCACTGATGACTCGTGTTTCCTTTCGAGGACAAGTAAGCTTTTTAAATGATCAAGACGTTTACATTAGTTTTGCTCTTCAATGGCCTTTTTTAAAAAAAAAATCCAAAGGCAGAAGTTAAATTTAAAAGAGCTTTCCATGTTACCCCAAAGAGAGATTATCAATCACCAAGTTAAATATTTGTATACAAAATAATATCTGGATGCATAGATTCTTACGTTCATCAGATGAAGAGTGAAAGACTTATTAGTCACCATGCTTTATTTACACCCCTGTCAAAATTACATGAAAATATTTCTCTCCAAAGAACCATTCTAGAGAACCCTTTCATACAAAGTGGTGTGTGTACATCTAAGAGGTTGCTCAGTTTAGCTCAAAGGCTAAAGAGTCTAGTAAACTGAGTTCCACCACGTCATGACTTTTAAGTGGTAGGTTACCACCAGAAAGAGACGACTTCAAGCACAGATTTCTAGCAGCAAGGCCAGGATTAAAAACCCATGTGACAACAGGCTTCAGAGAGAGGAACAATCCATTCCTAATTCAAAGGCCATCAAGCCCGAGTTGTAAGAACATTTTTGACTCTGAGAATCTTCTCTTTTTACCAAGAAAATCCCTTACAGTCATGGTTTAACATCCTAAATTAAGGAATAGAAGAAACCAAATTAATCTTTAATTTATACTCCGCTTATATATGTTTTCAATCGTCCACTACTGCAGGATGTACACTGAACGGTAGAAGTAATACACATCATTTTCATCAGACAACCTCATCTACCAAAATGGTGATAACACAATCTTATTTTGAAGCCAAAAGAGAGTTATAAACATCAATCGTTCTCAGATATGCTTTAAAAATGTTCAAAAGTAACATCATTATTTTAAGTTACAGCACAATCATTAAAGGAAAAAAGAACCCAAGAACAAATGAAATTCGTTATTATTTTAGTCTCTTTTAGTGGAAAAAATAAAACAAGATTTCGATTTTCAGCCAGGACAAAGTAAAAGACTCTTGTCAGATGTCCACTTTCTCATTCATGAACTACTTGAGACTGTACTCCTGGGTCAACTTATTTCTGCTTCTCCTGTCTCTAGACCTGTCTTAATTATATATGTCTCAGGATCCATGATATAGATTTAAACAGACCCATGGGCAAATCTAAACACTGACCACACAGTGTCCAGTCTATTCATTTCTCTACAAAGCGACAGAAATTCAACCTTTAATAAGTAGAAGTTGATTCTACCTAAATTCCTAACATAACTAATAAAATATAGTTGCCTTCAATAAAATAAATGCCCAGACACTATTTTATAGGATACAGCAAATCCCAGTCATACCTCTACCAAGGCTAACTATGCTGTACCTTAATCTGTTTGTTCTCAGAGCCAAAATCAGTGCTTCACCTAGATTCTCCTTTCCTAAAGAGTCTGTCGACTCAAAAGAAATGCCTAGTTCTTGATGCAGACTCATCATTAGTCAATCCTGGTCTTGGATATTCATGCTTCTAATAAGCATGATTGATAACAGTCTTGCTAATAAGCAATAGTAATATCAATCTTGAATATTCATGCTTCTAATAAGATTGGAAGAATACCACTTGGGTACTTGCATATAGCTACTAGTACCTACATCCTCCACTACTTACAAGCTAACATTTGCGTTTATCAATATTATTATTATTATTATTTTGAGACAGAGTCTTGTTACGCTGCCCAGGCTGCAGTGCAGTGGTGCAATCATAGCTCACTGCAGCCTTGAACTCTTGGACTCATGTGATCCTCCTGCCTCAGTTTCTTGAGTAGCGTGGATGACAGGCTTGCACCACCACACCTGGCTAATTTTTTATAGAGATGGGGTCTTGCTATGTTGCCCAGGCTACTCTTGAACTCCTGGGTTCAAGTGATCCTTCTGCCTTGGCCTCCCAAAGTGCTGGGATTACAGGCATGAGCCACCATGCTCAGCCTAACAGTGCCTTTAAAAACCTCCTGGGTTACATTGAAAACCTTACTATCACATGTCAACTTATTTTGAAGCAAGTTAGCTTACAATTTAGAAAAGTCCTTGTATCACTTCTTCGTTCTCTCTACTGTTACTCAGTTTTCTGAAAACTTTAAGTAGAAGCAAGACCTTGGCAGCAAGATAAGTCATCACATGGTTCAACGTATATTTGTGCAATGGATCAAGTTTACCTATTATCTTGCACACTGCTCTCAATTATAACCTGAGAACCAGAAATTATCCCCTCACTTTATAAAAATACTGTTTTAAAAGATTATTTAACAGCATCATCTTTTTAAATCCATGTGTAACACTGAAAAACACTATAAATGTATTTTATCTCTCAGGAGTTAAAAAAAAATCTGAGCTGTACTGAAGGGCATTTTCTGTTGCTTCTTCAGATCTTTTATATTAACATTTAAGCACAAATACCCTTTGTCAAGTGCTTTCAGTGCCAGGATCTGTGCTTATTCAAAGATAAAAACAAAAACAACCATATAATTCACAGTCTCTGCAGACCAAATCATAAATGTATTAACAAATAACACTGAATGCAAATTCAGGTAACCATATCAAACCTAGTGAAAAAAAATGTGGTTCGTCTTTTGGAGGAGTTGTCTAAAAGGATCCAGTCAATCACAACTTCCCTTTTTCTCTGCAATGATACACCAGTTACCATGATCATTTCCAGAACTCAGGATACGGAGCTCTGATACATTCTCCTTGAGCAGACTGCAGAGCTCCCCTTCTCGAAACACGTGGTAGTAGCGCATAAAGGCTCTGGAGTCCAAAAGATCAGGCTGTGGATCTTCGACAGACATTGTATCATCTGCGTTGGAATCTGTGGAATCGACTGCAGAAATCCTTCTCAATATTTTACTAGCAGAAGGATTATCATCTTCTAAGTTACCTGCATCCACACAATTCGCACTGGTATTAGTGCTATCCAGAAAACTCCCCCCTCCATTTCTCCTCATTTCTCCTTGATGGTCTCCATTTAAATGCTTCAGAGTGCCTGGTGCTCTCAGCCACTCTAAGTGTTTTCGAGAAGAAGATTCCACAAACACTTCCTCATCTAAGTTTTGCTCTTTTGTTGAAAATGGCTCTTGGTGATCAAAGTCTAAACTAGAGTGTCTGGAAGGCTGGACTGTTACAGTGCTATTGGCCCAAACTTCTGTGTTTTTCAAGGGTCTTACTCTTTCAATTTGCTTCCTCAGAGTTGACTCATCCAAAGACCTGGAGAAAAACCAGGAACGAAATGATTTTCCTAATGTGTTGTAGAATCCATATTCTTCCTCTCCTTCCTTAGAAATATTTGCAAAACAAGTTCTTGCCATAGCAGGTTCATAGTCCACGCTGTGGGACCGTTTTGAACCACACTGCTCTTTAAAACAAACAGAACAGCTACACTCAGAGCAAGGAGGATGGTAGGGATGGCTTCTTTCTGAGTGTCCACACTGCCTCTTCCTCCCAGACTGGCTGGACTCTGAGAAGAGCTGGGAACACAGGGCCCTGTTCCATGGAACGAGCACGTCTTGCTTCTCAAAGCGACGGTTCTTTTGCTCCATTGCCCAAACGTAAATCATCAGCTGGCCTCCAGGAACCAAGACCCTGGCCATTTCTTTTATTGCTCTGATTCTTCTTTGTTTCGTAGAAAAATGATGTATGACTGAAAAAGACAAAACTAGATCTTACTGTGTATGCACACACATAAACCCACACACGTATATACTGGTGTTTACCACATAACAATGATGACATTTTGACATCTAGTAAAACCTTCTTATTTCCTCCATGGCAACGATGATGACAGAAATAGCACAGGCCTGATTTTAGGAGAGATATAAATTTTAGCTTTGGCTGCTGTACTTTAATATTAGATAGCTGATCTTGGGCAAGATATTTAAGTTCTATAGATTTTAACATGCTTCCTCTAAAATAAGAAGTCTAGAGTCCATAAATCCATAAAGTCTCTTCCAGTTCCAAAATACTACGGATTTTCTTAACCAGAAGGATGGCCAATGTGAATTACTAAAATTTGAAAGGGATATTAAGTGTTCCCTGGTTGAATTCTATGATGTAATTGAATGTTTTAATGAATACTTTGTACTTCTAAAGTAATAGCTGAGAAGTAGAGAAATATATTAAAGATTGTTTCTCTGTCTGGATAATGCAAAGATCAGCCAGCTCACCACAAGTCCAATTGATTGCTTATAACAAGATATAAAATAGTTGTGTCTATTAAAAAAATCAGTGTCTATAGGTCATCATTTTACTTTCAATTTCTCCAAAGTCAAAATGAGCTTCAAGTAAGACTGCCTTTATTAAGTCATAAGTGTGTTATTAGGCATAATTTTATCCACCAATAGACAGAAAGTGCTAGTCTGTTAGTTCTTGAGGGAGTGTAATCACAGTACTGTGTCAAGAGAAAACTTCAAATTATTTTTTCCTACACAGACCTACCAATATATCAGGGAGGAAATTAATCTCAAGCAAAGTTTCTTGTTTTGATATGAGTTGTGAGGGCAGAGATAGAGGCTGAAAGGGTTGCTCTAAGGGTCAAAATAATCCAACTGTTAGTGGTGATTTTAGGCAAACTAATCTTTGTAGTTTACCTGCCACAGAGATATACTAAATATCAAAAATGGGGTTTGTGTACAGATCAAACTAGTAAAGAAATATCACTCCACAGATACATTTTGTATTGTTAGCAATCAAGTTTTCATTCCTATCCACAGCACATGAACCTTGGTATCTCTACCACGCAGCAATGTAAGAAAGCCAGAGGTGTGAGGGTAAAATGGGTTTGAAGAACAAGACACCAGTGTATTTTATTCTGCTAGATTTTTTTTGGTAACTAGTTTTGTGATCTTTGACCCATCACTCCATCCACCTGGCCTCAGACTGCCGCCACCCACCCCCCAAAAGAAGAGTCCTTTAAAATGGCTCATTTGAAAGCAAACCTTTCTAGAAGTAGAGTCCTGATTACTAAGCTAAGGAGGTATAGGAGTCGGGACTGAGAAAGACTCAATCCACTGCTAATGCTCACATTTATCCGTGGTTACTAAGGGCCATTAATATCTCCCATGCCACGTGCAGTGGCTCATGCCAGTAATCCCAGCACTTTGGGAGACTGAGGTAGGTGGATCACTTGAGGCCGGGAGTTTGAGACAAGCCTGGGCAACATGGCAAAACCCTATCTCTACAAAAAAATACAAAAAAATTAACTGGGCGCAGTGGTGTGTGCCTGTAGTTCCAGCTACGCAGGAGGCTAAAGTGGGAGGATCATTTGAGCCGGGGAGGTCGAGGTTGCAGTGGGCCATGATCATGCCACTGCAGTTCAGTCTGGCCAACAGAGTGAGACACTGTCTCAAGTATCTCCCATATGTATGTATGTATCTCCCATAACTTGCACCTAATTCACTTTAGAGCTTCTTCTATGGGTATATTTTCTAAATACAATCCATCTTCATTATTCATGGATTCTGTGTTTGCACATTTGCCCACTTGATAATCAATCGCCCCCAAATCAATACTCCCAGACTTTCATGGTCATTCACTGACAAATGCAGAGGGGCAGCTCGAGCCTCTCAATGCACGTATTCCCAGCTGAGAGAAAACAAAGCAATGTTCTTCCTTCTGATTTCAACTCTAATACTGTAAACAAGGGTTATTTTTGTGATCTATTTTGTGCCACATTTTCTGCATGTTTGTGCTTCTTGTTGGTGATTTTGCTCTTTGAAATCGCCTCCAAACATAGTGGTGAGGTATTACCTAGTGCTCCTAAGCCCTGGAAGACTGTGATGTGCCTTACGGAGAAAATATATGAGTTAGATAACTTCATTCAGGCCTGAGTTGCAGTGCTGTTGGCATGAGCCTAGGATCAAATAAACTGTCTTTAAACAGAAACACACATAAAACAAGGCAATATATTGTTCAGCTGACAAAAATGTTGTGACCAGAGGCTCACAGAAACCCAATCCTGTATGCCTCTTGGGATTCTATATTCCACTGAATTTATTAATTCAGTGTTCACAGAGACTTTATAGAACATTACTACTGTAGATAATGATAATTGACTGTATTTTTTGGGGGGTGGTATAAGACCAAAAAAAAAAAAACCATTAAAATGAGACTATTTTAATAAAATGGTCTCTTCAGGAGACTCGTACATCAACATTCAGAATTTTATTGGGCTTCAAAGTAGGTTTTTTTCGTTGTTTTCATTTTTGTTTTGAGACAGGGTCTTGCTCTGTCACCCAGGATGTAGTGGCTCCATCTCAGCTGGCTGCAGCCTCTGCCTGCTGAGTTCAGTTGATTTTCCTCTCTCAGCGTCCTGAGTAGCTGGGACCACAGGTGTATACCACCACACCCAGCTAATTTTTGTAATTTTTGTAGAGATGGGGTTTCGTTGTGTTGCCCAGGCTGGTATCGAACTCCTGAGCTCAAGCCATCCTCCCACCTCAGCCTCCCAAAGTGCTGGGATTACAGGCATGAGCCACCATGCCTGGCCAAGTTGTTTTCTTAAACAGAAAGTCCTTATTTATTTGTTTATTAATGCCTAAGTGACAATTCCTTTCCAATCAGATGTAATACTGTAATTTCGCCCAGGAATATCAGTCTTTTATATTATGTTTTATATTTAAAGTGTAATAAGTAACAGTCTTTAAACCAAATGTTCTTAAGAAAAAAATAGCCGGCTGGGATGGTGGCTCACACCTGTAATTCCAGCACTTTGAGGGGCTGAGGTGGGCGGATCACTTGAGCTCAGGAGTTCAAGACCATCCTGGGCAACATAGTGAAACCCCATCTCTACCAAAAAAATAAAAAATAAAAAAAGATTAGCTGGGTGTGGTGGTGTGTGTCTGTGGTCCAAGCTCCTCAGGAAGCTGATGTGAGAGGATCACTAGAACCCAGGAGGCAGAGGTTGAAGTGAGCCAAGATCACGCCACTATACTCCAACCTGGGTGACAAGATACGACCCTGTCTCAAAAAAAGAGAAAAAAACAAAAACCCTACAAATGATTACTTCTTTACATGTTAAATGCATTAGACATGCATACACAAGCATGTTCTATTAAGAAACATTGTAAATGTATCTAAAATGGGAAGTGAGAATATATTTACCTGAAATATCAATGTCTGGAAACTATGTTGAATTTTTTAAAGTCCCTTTTGTTTAAAAAAAATCATAATTACAACCTTAAGGCAAAAGTAGTACTCAATATATGTATCCTAAAGCAGTATTTTCCTGCTGAGAGCCCAGACAGTAGGTAGGTTGAATTCAATTACTGGATTTCAGATTCAGATGAGAAGTTACACACGATCTCCTTTAATGTCTTGTTCCATCTTGATATTTTATCATTTGTTTACATTTAACTTTTCAAGTGTACATGCCTCGCTTCTCTAACCTTCAGCATTCAGAATCTGCAGGTTTAGCGTAAAGCAGGCTTTTTGTAAACATCAGTACTACTGACATTTTGGGCTAGATGATTCATTTTTTTGTTTTTGTTTTTTGAGACAGAGTCTTGCTCTGCCACCCAGGCCGGAGTGCAGTGGTATGACTTGGCTCACTGCAACCTCCGCCTCCCGGGTTCAAGCAATTCTCCTGCCTCAACCTCTCAAGTAGCTGAGACTACAGGCATGCACCACCATGCCCAGCTAATTTTGTACTTTTAGTAGAGACGGGGTTTCACCATATTGGCCAGGCTGGTCTTGAACTCCTGACCTCGTGATCCACCCGCCTCAGCCCCCCAAAGTGGATAATTCTTTATTGTGGGAGCCCACGTACTAGATGACATTACACATACACACATCCAGTTGTGACAATTAAAAATGTCTCCAGACATTGCCCATGTCTCCTGGGGAAAGGGGGAAGGAGCAACATAACCCCCAGTTGAGAAGCACTAGCCTGAAGGGCATTGTTGATTGCTGCTATGTTAATATGCCACCACATTTCCCTAGGATGTTTATCAGACTATTCCAAAGGTAAGTAAAATGATACTTCTTTTTCTAATCCACCAGTAAATGAAGGCATAACTACGTATGATGCTTAGCTCACATTATCATTATTAAAAGATATGGAAAAGCAAACATACATATACATATATATTTCTTCCTGTTAAGCAGGAAGTGCCAACATATAGAATTTTAAATAGAGAAGTAAATATATAGGGACATAAGAGAGACAGTCTATTGAAATTTCTCATACTATGCTTTCTTTTATTTATTATTCATATTTATATATTTATTTATATATATTTCTTATAATATAGGTCCCTATATATGTAATAGGAGAAATTTCAGTAGACTCTCTCTCTTATGTCTCATACAGTCATATACGCACACTCACACATATATATTTTACCTTTTATATTTATATATGTTGTGTGTGTGTGTGTATATATATGTTTTTTAGGGACAGGGTCTCACTGTATTGCCCAGGCTGGACATAAACTCCTGGGCTCAAACGATCCTCTCACCCCAGCCTCTCAAAGTAGCTGGGACTACAGGTGCCTGTCACCATGCCTGGCTGCTGTAATATAGTTCTAAATGTGAAATCTAACTGAAAATAACCACATCACATTAATTCAGAGTTACAGATCATACAAGCATGTGCTGTTTTTCCACTCAAGGAAGCATTTTAAATTCGAAGATGGTAACTAGGTGTACTCCATTTTCTCTGAGGGCAAGGCATGAGATGTAAACTGAAAATAGAGAAGGATGGAGCCAGATACGCATGGAGCATTTCCTAAGTATAAGAAAGCTGGTCTATATCCCCTTCCTCCACCAGTGGCTCAGTGGCATGGTCTGGATGTAGGTGGCTTTGCAGACTAAAACGAATTTAGCCTGGGCATGGTGGCTCATGCCTGTAATCACAATGCTTTGGGAGGCCAAGGCAGGTGAATTGGTTGAGCCCGGGAGTTCAAGACTAGCCTGGACAATATGGCAACCCTATCTCTACAAAAAAATTCAAAACAATTAGCCAGGCATGGTGGTGTGTGCCTGTAGTCCCAGCTACTTGGGAGGCTGAGGCAGGAGGATAACCTGAGCCCAGGAGGTCAAGGCTGCCACAGCACTGCAGCCTGGGTGATAGAGTAAGACCCTGTTTCAAAAAACTAAAAGACTCTTGAATCATTAAAAAATCCAACAACAATTTGAAGCTTTAAATAGTTAAAAGGAAAAAAAGCAAAATGAGTGTAGACAAAAGAAAAGCAGAGTCCACACATTTATCTGACTTTATTTTATTTTATTTTACTTTTGGAGATGGAGTCTCACTCTGTTGCTTAGGCTGGAGTGCAGTGGCGAGATCTCGGCTCACTGCAACCTCTGCGTTCCAGGTTCAAGCAGTTCCCTGCCTCAGCCTCACAAGTAGTTGGATTACAAGCGCCTGCCACCACGCCCGGCTAATTTTTGTATTTTTAGTAAAGATGGGGTTTCACCATCTTGACCAGGCTGGTCTTGAACTCCTGACTTTGTGATCCACCCGCCTCGGCCTCCCAAAGTGCTGGGATTACAGGCGTGAGTCACCGCGCCCAGCCCATTTCTTTGACCTTTCTCCAATTTCTAGTTAAGTGGAATGATCAAACCAAAACCTTTTTCCACTAAAGATTCAAAGCATTGTATAGTGTTGCTTAATTCAATAAGGTTTTCTCCTGGTTATAGACTGAATGTTTGTGGCCCCCAAGACTCATATGTCGAAGTCCTAAACCCAAGAGTGAACGTATTAGGAGATCAGAACTTTAGGAAGTTTAGACAAAGTCATGAGAGTGGGCCCCCATGATGGGATTAATGGTCTTATAAGAGAGACCAGAGAGCTTGCTCTCTCTCTCTCTCTCTCTTTCTCTTCTTCTCCTTCCAGTCTCCCGCTACATTCCACGTGATGATACAACAATAATTAAGCCATCTGCAAGCTGGTAGGAGGGTCCCTACCAGAACCTTACCCTGCTGGCACCCTGATCTCAGATGTGCAGCCTCCAGAACTGTGAGAACTAAATGTCTGTTGTTTAAGCCAAGTCTATGGTATTTTGGTATAGCAGGCTGCAAAGGCTAAGACAATCTTCTTTATGCTTACAACCAAAATGGATCTAACAGTTTCAACTGCAAACGAGGCTATCAGAGAGGAAGTTTCCATGGCAACCATCTCTTGCCAGTCCTTACTAGTTCCAAGGTTATGGCTTCTAGGCAGCCTCCCCTCACCATACGAAGAAACAGTCCCCACCTAATGTTGGATAAATCAATCTTTCATGTATTTTAGGAAAAGAGCAAATCATCGTATTCTGCAATTTTGTCATGAATAACTCCATTTTACAAAAGATCATCTTTCTTGGATAAAACTTATTATTCAAATAGGTTGATTTATTTTTTTGTTTTTTGTTTTTTTTGAGATAGAGTTTCACTCTGTCAGCCAGGCTGGAGTACAGTGGCACAATCTCAGCTCACTGCAACCTCCACCTTTCCGGTTCAAGCGATTCTCCTGCCTCAGCCTCCTGAGTAGCTGGGACTACAGGCGCTTGCACCATGCCCAGCTAATTTTTGTATTTTTAGTAGAGATGGGGTTTCACCATGTTGGCCAGGCTGGTCTCAATCTCCTGACCTCATGATCCACCCACCTTGACCTCCCAAAGGGCTGGGATTACAGGCGTGAGCCACCGCACCCAGCCAAATAGGTTGATTTTTAAGAGTGTATTGGGAGGCCGAGACGGGCGGATCACGAGGTCAGGAGATCGAGACCATCCTGGCTAACACGGTGAAACCCCGTCTCTACTAAAAATACAAGAAAATTAGCCGGGCGAGGTGGTGGGCGCCTGTAGTCCCAGCTACTCGGGAGGCTGAGGCAGGAGAATGGCGTGAACCCGGGGGGGCGGAGCTTGCAGTGAGCCGAGATCGCGCCGCTGCACTCCAGCCTGGGGCATAGAGCAAGACTCCGTCTCAAAAAAAAAAAAAAAAAAAAGAGTGTATTGGGACAAGTAATTTGCTTTGCAAAAGATTTTTCCATTGCAAAACAAACAAAAAAACCTTGCTATAGGATTCTTTTAAATATCAAGTTTCCTTGCATATTTAAATATGGGAGGTGTCATGTATTCCTTACCTACGTGTATTTCAGGCATAGAATTTTTTCCCCATTTTTTGGCATGCGTGTTTTCTGGTCACACTTTTTGGGAAGATATGAGAAACACATTCCCTAGACTCAAGAACAATCTCTGGCAGTATATGAGCAGAGTGGCATTATAAAAACAATGCCATCCAAGACCAGATGGGACCCGCCTTCTCCCTGAACCTGAGTGCCCGTGAGTGGCAGATTGGTCCAGGTGACATTTGGTGTGTGAGCCCTAGAATTCTCTGCTAACAAAGGCCACTATTTTGGCCTAAAAAATGGTAATATAACTTCTAAAAATCTACTTTGCTTTGCATGAATCTGGCTTCATTTAAATATAATGAAGTGCTGTTTTCAATGAGTAAGATTCCTTTTATCCTTTCTTACTCATAAATAAAAGAAACTGGAATGAATCATTAAAAAACTGCAATGACAATTTGAAGGTTTAAATAGTTAAAACAATCATATGTGCCATAAATACATTTTGGAGTTGAGTCAAATCACTCAAGTAGTTGAAACAATTATTTTAAATTAGAGAAAATAAATTACATTGACATTTCTACACAGAACAGATGGTGAGTCATGAGAACAGACTAAACCATGTCAATTATTCTCATGGCAAAGGGTGAATGTGTGATCCGGCTGCCTTACCTCCTATGGAGATGACGGCATCGAAGCCCTCATCCCTAAAGGGGAGATTAAGGTTGTCACATACCATGGCTTCACATCCTCTATCCCGGGCAATCTCTACCAGTGGCCCACAGTAGTCACAGCCCACGGTATGTACCTGGCTGTTCACTTTAAGATACTTTCCAGTCCCACAACCTATAAGAGAAAAACCTGCATTACATGCTGTCCTCAATGGAAAGTGTGAAATAGTTCATTTGTCTCATAACAAGAAATATAATTAATCTTTTTTTTTTTAAATTTTTTGAGACAAAGTCTCGCTCAGTCACCCAGGTTGGAGTACAGTGGCGCGATCTTGGCTCACTGCAAACTTTGCCTCCCGGGTTCAAGCAATTCTCTTGCCTCAGCCTCCTGAGTAGGTGGGATCATAGGCGTGTGCCACTGTGCCTTGCTAATTTTGTGTTTTTCATGGAGACGGGTTTCTCCATGTTGGTTAGGTTGGTCTTGAACGCCTGACATCAGGAGATCCGCCTGCCTCGGCCTCCCAAAGTGCTGGGATTACAGGTATGAGCCACCGTGCCCAGCCAACCTTTTTTTTTTTTTTAACTAACCAAGACAGAATACAACATGGTGTGAAGGTATTCACAAAAATAAAAGAAAAGTCTTCAGCGAATACTTACACATTCTCATATAGAAGAGAGAAAGGCCACAGGAAAAAAATAACATTTATTGAATATTTAATGAGGTAATGTCCACAGGGCTCAGTACACTAGTGCAACCAAGGCACGTTAGCTGATCCATGTCAAGAAAGGTAGTTCTAGTATCCCAGAGACCGTGTGCGGCCTCTAAGCTCACATCCGTATTCCATTGTATATACACGCATGTTACAGCCTTTATTCTCCTGTTGTCCCTCCAAAGATTCTTACCACTTGCTGACTGCAAAACAAACTGTCAACAACTTTTCAATTATTTATACACTAAAACATGCCTTTCAACTTTTAAAAATTTGAACTTGAATTAGAAAAGCAATTTTAACATTGTTTTTATCCAATCTCTATTCATTGCTACATTTAAAATGATCTCTATGGGCCCAGTATACAACTTAGATTATAAAAACTACTTTTTTTTTCTTAAATAGACAATTTTTGACATTCACTTTCCAGTGGAAAAGACCTAAATAATTCAGGATTTACAAAGCCCAGAGGTTTAGATCATTGAGGTCTTACCGATGTTATGGTTGAAGAAGGTAGTAACATGAATGAATAACCACCTTGAAACAAAGCCTTCTACAATCGAATACTTTATATTATATTCTATCACAGATATATAATCTAATTCCTTTCCAGAAATATTAAAAGAAACCATTAGAGCCTATATTTGTACCTATTGACATTACTTATACAATTTTTCTACCTGAAAAAATATCTATCACTATTCAGAGATGATTAGCTTGCTGCTTCTGAAATACATCAGGACACTGCAACCTCTGCCTCCCAGACTCAAGCGGTCCTCCTACCTCAGCCTCCCAAGTAGCTGAGACTACAGGCATGTGCCACCATGCCCAGCCAATCTTTGTTTTTACAGTTGTTGTATTTTTTGTAGAGATGGAGTTTCACTATGTTGTCCAGGTTGGTCTCAAAGTCCTGAGCTGAGTGATCTGCCTGCCTCGCCTCCCAAAGTGCTAGGATTACAGGTGTGAGATACCGCTCCCGGCCTACTTGTAGTGTAATTTGTAGTGGCAAAATACAGCAAACGACATATATTAAATGTTAATATGGCACTATTAGCACAGAATGCTAGGCAGCTTTTAATACTGGGTAGCTCTATAAAAATAAATATGGAATGATTTCCTCAATATATTAAAAGTATAACAAAAGCTAGGAGTATAATTAATAGTATACTACCATTAGTGTAACCAAAAAAAGGGAAATTACCCATCACACACTCACAGGCACAAATACGCTTATATTTACATAAAACATCTCAAAAAGATCATGCAAGAAGCTAATAGCGTCAGAGGCCTCTGGTGTGGGTTGCTTGGTGCCAGTGACCGGGATGGGAGAAGATTTTACACTACGCATTCTTTTGTGCTTTGTTGCTGAACCATATCGGTGGGTTACCTATTAAAATACTTTTACACATTTTGAACCACTTGTTCACATCCTTTAACTATTTTTCTTGTGACTTGATGGTATTTTTCCTTTTTTTTCTTTTGAACTTATTCCTTCTGTTTGATACTCTGAACATTTTAACCAGCATCTTGCCATTTCCTACACCTACCACACCTGCTTTGACACCCCAGCCCCAGGTAACCACCATTTTAATCTCTCCTTCTATGAGTCCCACTGTTTTAGATCCCACATATAAGTGAGATCACGGGGTATTTGTCTTTCTGTGCCTGGCTTATTTCACATAGCATAATATCTTCCAGGTTCCTCTGTGTTGTCGCAAATGACAGGATGCTGATCTTTTTTTTTTACAGTGACATTGAAGAATGCTTTTAAAAAAATTATCAGCGGGGCTTGTGGCTCACGCCTGTAATCCCAGCACTTTGGGAGGCCGAGGCGGGCAGATCACGAGGTCAGGAGATTTGAGACCATCCAGGCTAACACGATGAAACCCCATCTCTACTAAAAATACAGAAAATTAGCCGGGCGTGGTGGCGGGCGCCTGTAGTCCCAGCTACTCCGGAGACTGAGGCAGGAGAATGGTGGGAACCCGGGAGGCGGAGCTTGCAGTGAGCCGAGATCACCTCACTGCACTCCAGCCTGGGCGACAGAGCGAGACTCCGTCTCAAATTTAAAAAAAAAAAAAAAAAAAATTTAAAAAATTATCTAGATTTCTATGACATATGTTGCAGATCTTTTTACTTAGTTTGATTTTGGTCTTTTGACTTGAATTGTATGTCTGTCTACATTTTTGTCTTGTGGAACTTTTCCATTTTTATAGGGTCAAAGTTATCCGTCAATACAGTTAATCCTCATCAATTATAGTTTCCATATTTGCAGTTAATCTACCTGCTGAAATTTATTTGTAACCCCAATGTCAATACTACAGCATTGCATGGACATTATCAGACTTATATACTCACAGTGCAGCAAAATATTTGAGTCACCTGAGACCCACATACCCAGCCTCCTTTTTTCAGCTCCCATACTGTAATCGTGTGTCCTTTCCATAATCTATTTAGGGCCACGATTTCTCCATTTGTACAGTTTTTACTGGTGATTTTGCTGTTTCAAAGAGCTTAAGCCTGGGGCTGAAATGCCGTCGAGTGTTCCTGAACATAAGAAGGCTGGGATGTCTCTGATGGACAAAATATATGTGTTAGATAAGCTTTGTTCAGGAAAGAGTTATAGTGTGTTGGCTATGAGCCTAATGTTTATGAAATAATGATACATAGTAATCAAGGTGTCTTTAAACAGAAGCACAAATGCAACAAGCTTACACATTGGTAAATTGATAAAAATGTTGTGACCCAAAGCTTACAGGAGCCTAATCCAATATTTCCCCTATGAGTAATGATTCAGTATTTGCCAATTCAATGCTTATGATACATATATGAAATGTAAGTACTGTGAGTAATGGCAATGAACTGTATATTCTTTTATGATTTCTTTTTGTATGTGTATCATACATAGGCATTTTGCCTCTGAGAATATTTTAAATAACAATCTAGTTGTCATCTAGTCCTTTAATGAGCGCATTTCCTTATACTTAAATCTTTGCTTCATTTGGAATTTATTTTGATGTAAGGTGTGAGAAAGTAACTCTCTGATTGTATATGTCGTTATCCCAAAGCCATTTACCTAATAGTTCCTTTTCCCCACTGATTTTAAGATCCTGGTACGTGGCTTACTTACATTAACAGGTGGTAATAGATCCAAACTCACTGCACATTCTGAAACTAGATTTATTATTTTTTAAATTACATGGTAGAGATATTTTTCAAAGACTCCCAATTTCCATGTGACCTGCACCCCTTCCCCAGATTCCACATTACTCATACCATTTTCAGCAAGTCACAAGTTCCAGTATGTCTGTTTCTCTTACCAGTATTTAGAGTGAATATCAAACTAGACAGACTTTGCAACTACAGACTTAACGACTCATGGGTGCAGTCAGCATGCAATTGTTAGAATGCAGTTTTAGGTGGGCAGGCCTTGCATGAGATTCCAACCACAACTTAAGTCTTAGTCCTAGATCTACTAAGCTGTGGTTTACCAGTTCTTGATTTAGGAGGATGCTGAACCAATGTCCTCCAGACAAATAAGCTATTATGAAAATACTGTCTAATTAAAGATATGCTCCTATAATGAAACACCTACAGAATAATTAAGGGAAAGGACCCATGAGATTCATAAGGCATTACTGGACCTCTTGCATAATCTCACAATTCTATAGAAGGCATGTGAACCACTCAAAGTGAGCCACCAGCGGTGAACACATTTGGCAAATGTGAAGGTCTTTAAATTTACAATGGTCAGTTTCACAAGCCATCATTTCCATCCTAATTTATTCAATCAATGTTAGGTCCGTTTTGGTGGAGGATGTACACAAAGGCCCTGAAAAGTCACTGTCTAAATGTAAAGTTTGAGGCCAGACATGGTGGCTTATGCCTGTAATCCCAGCACTTTGGGAGGCCAAGACAGATAGATCACCTGAGGTCAGGAGTTCGAGACCAGCCTGCCCAACATGGCAAAACCCCGTTTCTACTAAAAATACAAAAAACAGCTGGGCATGGTGGTGGGCACCTGTAATCACAGCTATTGGGAGGCTGAGGCAGGAGAATCAGTTGAACCCAGGAGGTGGAGTTTGCAGCAAGCTGAGACTGTACCACTGCACTCCAATCTGGCTGACAAGAGTGAAACTCCACCTCAAAAAAAAAAAAAAAAGAGTTTGAGAAAGTTTTTTACTTGCTGCTGACTTGACTGTCTGAGTTTCTGCTGTAAAATGAATATTCTAGGCACTGGCATGCCAAGGGTACAATTTCAGGATTCTTATTAGAACAAAAATAAAAAATGAATCTCAAAAGCAAAGGCTCAATGGAAGATATTTCATGCTGCATGGCCCAACGGTGGGTTACCTATGTCTGCGATGATGCTGCCCGGCTTCTGTTCTTGGAGGAACTGGCGGACACGAGGCCACGCTTTGCTCTGCAGGTCACTGAAGTAAGGGGCTGTGCTCTCGTACACGTTGTGCACATGCTGCTTCTCCAGCTGGGCGGCTTCATGATCCATCCTGGGGAAAACAGGACCAACCCAAGGCATGCAGGTCAGCCTATGCACCATAGGTGACTGAAGGAGGATGCATATTTCCCAAACTTTGGAACCTACAACTGCAAAAGTCTTGCTGTTCACACACTTTCTTATAAGCTGCAAAGTACAATATCTTCACGGTAACCATCGTTGCCAGAAGACTAGCAAATGCACGGTTTTTACCTACTATGTTAAGGAAAACAATGGTTTGAAAATGAGTTAATTATTATATAATAAGTTCCTGGACAAGATGAATTTTTTTTTTTTTTGAAGTGGAGTCTTGCTCTGTCGCCCAGGTTGGAGTGCAGTGGCACGATCTCTGCTCACTGAAAGTTCCGCTTCCCAGGTTCAAGCCATTCTCCTGCCTCAGCCTCCAGAGTAGCTGGGACTACAGGTGCCCGCCAACACACCCGGCTAATTTTCTGTATTTTTAGTAGAGACGGGGTTTCACCGTGTTAACCAGGATGGTCTTGATCTTGACCTCGTGATCTGCCCACCTCGGCCTCCCAAAGTGCTGGGATTACAGGCGTGAGCCACCGCGCCCGGCCAAGATGAATTCCTAATTTTAGAAGCATAACCAAAATTCTTACTAAACAGTTTACTTTGGATAAGACCATTGTATCTGATGCTAAATAGATTTCAAAATTTCTTAACAGGTAGCTCACCATTTCAACCCAATAACGAAGCCCTATTAATTCTACCTTTTTAGCGTTTGGGTTCCAGTCATGTCTCTATATCACTACTGCTTTTATTTTAGTATAGGTGCCCATTTCTTTACTGAATTACTTCAACAGCTGGCAAACAGTTCTATTGCCCTTCAATTGCTTTTCCCAAGTTCAATTACGTCATAATTATTTTTGTAAAATATAGGACTGATTTTGTTGCTTCTCATTTATTTATTTTTAATTTTTGTGGGTACACAGTAGGTGTATATATTTATGGAGTACATGAGACGTTTTGATACAGGGATACAAGGCTCAATAATCACATCAGGGAGAATGGGGTGTCCATCACCTCGAGCATTTATCCTTTGTGTTACAAACAATCCAATATACTTTTTTAGGCATCTAAAAATGTACAAATAAATTAATTTTTTTACTATAGTCACCTTGTTGTGCTAGCAAATACTAGGTCTTACTCTATTTTTTGTACCCATTAACCGTCTCCACTTCTCTCCCACTCCCCACTACCCTTCGCAGCCTCTCGTAACCATCCTTCTACTCTCTATATCCATGAGTTCAATTATTTTAATTTCTAGCTCTCATAAATAAGTGGGAACTTACGAAGTCTGTCTTTCTGTGCCTGACTGATTTCAGCTAACATAATGACCTCCAGTTCCATCCATATTATTGCAAATGACAGGATTTTTTTTTTTTTTTTTTTTTCGTCTGTACCGAGGTGGATTGTAGTGGCATGATCTGGCTAACTGGCAACCTCCACTCCCGGGTTCCACCACATCTCCTGCCTCACCCTCGCGGAGGTTAGCTGACTACAGGCATGTCCACATTGCGTGGCTAATTTTGTGTATTTTAGTAGGAGAAGGGATTTCCACGTGTTAGCAGGTTGGTCTCATCTCCTGTGTCATGATCCGCCAGCCTCGGCCTCCCAAAGTGCTGGGATTACAGGCGTGAGCCACCACGCCTCGCCCGGATTTCATTTTTTTTTTTTTTTTTAAAGCTGAGAACTCCATTGTGTATAAGCACCACATTTTCTTTATCCATTCATCTGTTGATGGACAGTTAGGTTGCTTCCAAATCTTGGCTGTTGTGAATAGCGCTGTAATAAAACATGGGAGCATGGGTATCTCTTGGATATATTGATTTCCTTTCTTTTGGTTATATACCTAGGAGTGGGATTGCTGGATCGGAAGGTAGCTCTATTTTCGTTTTTTTGTAGAATCTCAAAACTGTTCTCCATAGTGGTTGTACTAATTTACATTCCCACTAATAGTGAATAAAGGTTCCCTTTTCTCCACATCCTCACCAGCATTTTTTATTGCCTGACTTTCAGAGAAAGCCCATTTTAATTGGGGTGAGATGATGTCTCATTGTAGTTTTGACTGGCATTTCTCTGATGATCAATGATGTTCAGCACTTTTTCATATACCTGTTTGCCATTTTTTATGTCTTCTTTTGTGAAATTGTCTATTCAGATATTTTGTCCTTTTTGTTTTTTATTTTATTTTATTTTATTGAGATGGAGTCTCACTCTATCACCCAGGCTGGAGTGCAGTGGCGCAATCTCAGCTCACTGTAACCTCTGTGGCCAGTTCCCCAGGCCATGAGCAGGTCTAGAGGTGCTGTCTGGGAGCCAGGGACTGGAGTCAAAAACCTTAGAAGTCTACTTGGTGTTCTATTGTACTGTGGCTGAGCTGGCACTCCAGCCACGAGACGCAGCCCTTCCCACTCTTCCCTCCCCTTTCCAAAGACCCCTTCCCCACTGTGACCAAGCTGGTACCTAAGGTGCAAGGCAAAGTCCCCTTTCCTTGTCCCTCCACTTCTCTTAAGCAGGAGTCTTGCCCCACAGCCACCACAGCTGGGAATGTGCTGAGTCTCATGTGGAGCCAGCAAGACTCAGAGTCTCACCCAGGTCCACAGAGTACTACTTCGGTATCATTGCTGGCTATGCAGGGCCTAAGGGCTCTTTAGTCAGAAGGTGATGGGTCCTGCCAGGACTAGCTCCTTCCCTTCAAGGCAGCAGGTTGCCTTCTGGCCCAGGGAGTGTCTAGAAATGTCATCTGGGAGGGAGAGCCTGGAAAGCGGGCCTCAGGACTCTGGCTGGGCCCTATCCTACCGTAGCTGAGCTGGTATCCAAGATACCAGACAAACTCCTCTTTACTCTTCCCTCTCCTCTCCTCAAGCAGAAGGAAGGGCTCTCTTTTGGAGCCAGGAGCTGTGTAGCCTGGGTAGCGGGAGGGGTTGGTGCAAGCACTCTCTTAGCAGCCCTTGCTGGTGTCTCCATAGGTGGCCTTCCCTCCTCCCCACCTAGTACACTGGCTCTGAGGCCAGTTCAGCAGGAGGACTCACCCAGGAGCCGTGGCCTAGACTGCCTTTCGAGTTTATTTAGTACCCCAGAGCCCTTTAGCCTACAGTGGTGAGGCCTGCAGGAACTCAAGTTCAGACTGCTGGGATCTGCAATTCCCCTCTGGCTAGAGGCTGGTTTAAATGCTCCCTCTGTGGGCAGGTGTCAGCTGAGTTCAGCCCCATGGTTTTGCCTTCTACTGTGACAGGGCAGCACTGAGTTCGATACAGTGTTTCACAAATGCAGTGCTCTCCCTCCCCTAAGCGCATATTCCCTCTCTGTGCCACATGGCTGCTGCCAGGGGGTTGGAGGAGGGATGGCATGGCCAATTCAAGACCGTCTTTGTCACCCTCTTCAGTGCTTCCTTTAGTGATATGAAGTCAAAACCAGGCACTGTGAGTGCTCTCCTGATTTTTGGTTCTCATGTAGGTGCTTTTTTGTGTGTAGATAGGTGTTAACTTTGGTCCTTGTCGGGAGGGTGGCGGAGGGAGGACACACCATCAGTGGAGCCTTCCATTTGGCCGTCTTACTCCACGCCACTCGCCTCAATTCTTACCTTCAACTTCTTCAGAGGAATTTTATAGCTTATCCCATTGGATTCAGCTGGCTTAGGCGGGCACATAAGGCTCTTTCTGATCTAGCCTCACCAGACCTCTTAAGGGTCATTTCTCACCATCTTTCCTCAGCATTAGCCATAATACCCAATGACCCATTGTTTCTTAGCGGTGACACATTCCTTCTCATCCAGGGGCCTGAACAGATGCTATGCTTTACCTGGCTAAATTCTAGTCACTCTTGGAAAAGGCATCACCTCCTCCAGGAAGGCTTTCCTGACCTTCCAGGCAGGATAAGGGCAACAGGGAAGGAGTAAGAAAAGCATGAGAGCAGGTCCCGTTTTGGGCTTAACTCTGTAATTATTCTATTCTATTTTGGCACGTGAGTGAGTGCTAGCCCAGGGAAGTGGCCAGGGGCCCAGGTTGTGGCTTTTACCAATCAGTAGGAAAGTATTTTCAATCATTTAATAACCCATTTGGCCCTACTGATGGCTATCAGCTACTGCATCCCATGCATACCTCTACAGGGATCACAGAGTCCTGTAATCGTTGAATGCAGATAAGATATTTTTCTCTGGCAGAGTCCGCTGGAAGACTCTGGAGAACAAGGGATTGTCCTATTTAATACTGAGTTCCCAGCACTTAGGACGCAGCAGACCCTCAGCAAATGATCAAATAAACACACATCACGGGAATGGAATCTGGCTCTGAGTACAGAGGGTAGTACTGGCTTTGGTTAGCAGAGGAAGTGATCACTCTGAGGAGCTGGGGAAGGGAGGGGACCCGACACCTGCAAAGTAGGCAGATGGGAGTGTAACTAGAGAGAAGGTACCGTCCCTGGACAGCCTCTGTCCCCACACCTCTACCCCTGTCCTGGGAAGTGGGAAGTACTTGGGTAAGATGGTGTCTGCCAAGTTACTTCCCTGTATGGAGACAGACTTTCAGACTGTGCAAATACTGTTTCTTATTTGCTCACCCGCCAGTTTTAGCATCTACCAATGATTCTTGCCCCAATTATTACTACAAGTATCACCAAATGATGATAATATAATTCCATCATTCCTTCCGTTTCAAGGAAGAGCTATTCAGGATTTACCCTTAAAATGTAATAGGTTGTCTTTAATCAGTATGAACCAACCCACAGCCCCTGCAAAAAATTCTAGCAAACTCCTGAGTATAAATCTAATTTGTGAGGTCTGACAAAACTTCCACCCAAATTGAAACAGCTTATGTTGCACCTTCAACTGAAATTTACAAAGTAAACATATGGCTGGCTAGAACTGCCCACACAAGAGAAAAACAGAAACACTATGTGCTTTTCATTTAAATCAAAATCTCAGTAGATTTTAGTCTATTTACATTTCCCCTTCCTCAAGGAATCAATCAAGCAATACAATTTAGAGAACACTAGAACAAGTAAGTTTTTCTTTACTGCACTTGCAAATGTTAAGTGGTAACCAACATAAACTGGATTCCTTGCACTATGCAGTTTACAAAATGACTCCAATTTCAAGCTCAGAATTTGTAGTATCTGAACAGCACCCCCTGAGATCTTGCCCTGAGTTTTCTATGGCCTCTGCTATCATCAGGTAACCTAAGAGTTATTTTTAAGTGTATAAGCAATATGAATCTATTTTGTTTTTCTGATGTTTTCCAGTTAACTTTATAAACACTGCAGATTTAAATTTTAAACGCTGTGGATTTAAATTTCCTA